TTTTGTCCGGGCCAGTTCTGTGTTTTGGTCTGTATTTTGAAAGTATTTTCTGTGTTTATGGCAGAGGATACGAGCTCAGGCCTGTTCTGGTTCACCGTGTTATTATGGATGTTTTTGTCCTTGGTGCAGCACTAACATGTCCAGAGCTCACCCTGAAGGCAGCACTATGTCTCACACAATACCGCTCTGTGACAGTTTCAATATATAGTGTAAGTGCATCTATATTTATCTGTGTAGTAAATGTTATTTATCCTGCTCTGAACTGATGTCAGAATGTATAAAACGATACAACTGGCTGTTTGTGAGATGTTCTTTGCCGATGCAGGAGGGTCTAAGGCCAGTGGTGATGATCTGGGACTTTAAACCCTCTCAGGGCCAAAATAAAACTTAAATAATCTGATATTTGAGGAAAATTATCATATTGGGCAGTAATATACAATCCTGTTTCTTATTTGCAGATTTGCAACATTGTCCCGCTGTTGGAAGTAGAGCTGACCTGGGGAAAAAACAAGAGTAGATATAGTCTAAATGTACTTCATAAATATTTATCTTGTGGTTTAAATTCTTAGAGGTTTATTGTGATTTGCACTTTAAATGGACCGCCTTGAAAGTCCAAAAGAGACTGACATTTAGGAAGTGAGACAGCTCCGCCCTCTGGTGAGTAGGTGGAAAACTGTGTGTTGCTAAAGCTCAACTAAGTCCAGAAGTGGTACTTCTGAGTAACAAAGGGTAAGATTTATGGATGTGGATTAGTTAGGTAATTAGAAATGAAGTTGTTGCAAATCTGCAACGCTTGCCTGGAGATGGTTATCATTTATGGACGTTGGTCTTCTACCACTTATGGACCAATTCTGTGTGTTTTTTTAATCATTGCATTCCCTCTGTTTGAACTGTTTGATTCTCTGATCTGTGTTGGTGAATCGACACCTTGTAATGTCCTCCGAGATAACTACTGTTGTGATTTAGGGCTGTACAAAAATAACATGAATTGAATTTAACCTAGCGTCACCTGCCGCAGTACAGCGTTCATGATTTTGCACTGGTCCAGACCAGAGCAGAGAGGATTCTTGGTCCGAACCAAACTGATCAGGCCAAAATCCACTGGAGGAATAATAACTTTGGGAAAAATGCTAATGAAGCATTTAGCATTTTTACTAGAGCAGACAAAATGGTCCGAACCAAGCGGTTACTCCACCTTTTGACCCGTCCTGCTCCACCCAGAGGCTACTCCACCTCTGCAGCTGTGACCTGAAGGGCTGTTGCTTATTACTACTACTGTTAGCTTTTCAGAATAATACATTTTAGTTTTTATTTTTGCTGCCTCTGGACACGTTCTCCCAAAGGGATCATTAAAGTATCTATCTATCTATCTAACTTCATGTTGCTCTTCACTTTATTGAACCCACCTCCAGATTCTCCTCTAGTTTTGTGTCTAACTACAACAAGACGTCCTCTCTGCTGAACATGTGCAAACAACAAGTCTTTTTTCCCAACGTCAATAATCGTCCGAAGCACTCGCTAAAATAAAGCAGTCCACCGTCAGCCCACCGGTCTCCGCACAGATAACCCCCTGACTTAGCAGCAGGAGCAGAGCCTGAATAAAGATCATATCTTTTAATTAAACTTTCACTTAGTTGAAAGAGAGAGCCGGTGAACGAGGAAAGGGTTGGGGGTGGAGGGGACTTGGTTCTGGGCCCATCTCTGCTGCTATTTTATATCTTTAAAGAATGTTCCGGTTGGTTGGTCCGGATGTGGATTGGAGGGGCAGATTTAGAGGTGTTCGCCGGTGTCCCATAACATTACAGAGGATTTGCTGAGACGGCTCAAAGCAAAAGGGAATACTCGTTCATTCTAACTTGATTACACTTTAAAAGCTGCCTGAGGTAAACATTTATCTTTTCTGTTTGTGCCTAAACGAGAGAAGAAGAGGAGCTGCGAGTGGTTGGATTGCTCTGTCTTACTTTAACTATTCAATTATATACAACAATTGCATAAAACAAATGTAGATTCTAGTTCATTCTCATTCATTACCATTTAAATGTTCCCATCTTTAAATATTTTGCAGAATTTCTAGAATTTTGCATCCGTACTGTGGACTGGTGCCACTTAATATTATTGCATTTCCTGTGTTTCGAACTGTTTGATTCTCTGATCTGTTGTTGACAACTTTGTATACTGCAAAAAATGATAAAATATGAGGTAATAATTGCTTGAATCCAGTGGTTTTTATCCTAATTTTAGTTCACTGTGACGCTCTTAAAACAAGATTTGCCAATGGGGCAAAGACATTTAGTTTTTTTTCAAGAAATTGTTGTAAATTTCTCCAATGTGAGTTCAATAAAGTATATCTTAACTGATGCTTTATTCTCTCATTCCAAGAGAGACATTTCTTTTATATTTTCAAAACATGATAATTTTGCCTGTCCCATAGGTAAATCTTGTTTTAAGGCAGTCAAAATCTGCTCAAATCAAGAGATATTTTGTCAAATTTGAGATTTTTTTTAAACTTATTCTCCATCATTTTTTGCAGTAAAAAGTCCTCTGAGACGACTGCTGCTGTGAATTTAACGGCTGTAAACAAATAAATTGATTTGAATAAACTGAAGTAGTCATGTGTGTGAAGGCCAGATCTTGTCAGACTTCTGAAGCCAAGCGGGGTAGGGTCTGGTCAGTAGAGTGATGGGAGACCTCTGGAAACGCCATGTGCTACAGTGGGGCGGCCATGGCTGTAAAGTGCCAAACTGATTGCACCAGACTGGTGTGTGTGTGAATGACTGGTGATGGTTGGAGGGGTTGGATGGAGCATTACTTTCCTCACTTCCATCAGTGTGCCCTAGGGCAGCTGTGGCTACAGTGGCTAACTATATATAGAGTGAATGAATATTGCCTTGAGAAGTGTCATAGAAAAAATAAAAATTACACATTGTCCACCATATTGAGTCTCAAATTGCCATTGTTTGTCTTTACAAGTAAGATTAAGAGATCCTTTATTTGTCCCACAGTGGGGAAATGTTGTAATGTCAGTGTTGCATTACCATTTGCAGGAGCACACAGCACAAGGAAAAAAAATACTACAATAAATCAACCTTTCCAACTTGGAATAAAGAAGAAAATGTAAGTTTTTTTTTTTTTCAAATTACTCTTGACAAACCCATCTTTAAATATGTATTCTTTCATTTATGTATTTACTGCTTGTGTGTGTAGACAAAGTTATCTGCTGTGCTTCTTCTTCTTCTTTGGTCGGTAGTCGGTGTAATCCACTCTGACAGAAGCAGGACACGCTTTGACAATAATGGAGTGTAAGTACAGCTCAACATTTTGCAATGAATCCTCAGGAAATTAGAGAACCACTCTCCAAGAGGGTAATTGAATGGATCAGGGCGGCGTGTGTACCTTCGCCATACAAGTCTGCCAATAATCTTTAGAGTAAACAAGATGAATGCAAATGTTGTAGTGTTTCGTAGACGAGGTTATGTAAGTTTCAAGTTTACTCCGACATCAAATGCTAAAAGTTTGAGCAGGAGCCAGACGTCCAAAAGTTTATAACGTGTCAGACCCAGTTTAGACGTATGTTTTGCGGCATGAGACTTTTTTTTTAAAAGTAGACTTCAGTAAGAGTTTTATGTGATCAGAGTTGTTTAGTTCAAAGTTAAAGGGGAAGTAACATTGAATATAGAGAGTTCATAATGTCTTCTTTACGTTTGCTTAAGGAATCAGTGTCACAGTTTTAACTTCTTACAAAGACTTTTTTGTTTCTCAACATTTACTGGACCCAAATTCTACTAATTTTACAATGGTTGTTTCTTCCTGGCTTTACTCACCAACTGGCTTCAACACAAAACATTAAAATATTGAAATCCAACTGTTTTTTCCCTATTTACTATTATTGTCTCTCCCATTGGTATTCCTGACCTATCGTTGCAGTTTCCAGAGCAGCTGTCGCAGTAATCCTGAAAATATGAGAAAAATACAAAAGTGATGTGACCGGCTAACACATCTGAGAACTAAAACACATATTTGGTTTGAACAACCTGAGCCAAAAGTAATTATTCTATCTGTTCAGCTTTGCCAATGTACAAACCTGGTGTATTTTGAAGACTAGTTTATTCATGAAAAAGAATCCATTGTTTATTTCTCAAAAGATACTAATTAGTTTTGAAATGGGAATAGAGGAAACAATTGAGTATAACGTAAGGAAAAAACAAGTAAGAGTAAAAATAGGTAAAGCCATGCGTTAAAATAAACTTCAAAACATTTCTTAAATTGACTACTATATGTGCATGTGCGTTAAGTACAAAGAATAGATGTTTAGCGGTGCAGTAAAGTGACAGTAGCATAAAGTGGCGTCATGAGGACAGGGGACAGTGTTCATGAGTCTAATAAACTGTTCTTAGGATGAACAGGATGGACTCATGTTGGGATAGACTGTAGCCTCCTGCCTGACGGGTTTAGAGAGTTCATGATACACAGCAACTGTGGTTAAAGTACTTACTCATCATTCTAACAATATGCACAAGCCAGTACTTTTCCACAGCATGTTTTGATTTCTGAAGGCAAAGTTACATGGCATTGCTGTCTCTACCAACGACAATAAAACAAGTCTTCTGTCTGAATAAAAGACACGATCCCAGACTTTGTCATCTTCTTCATGTAAGGAGATATTTATTTATATAGCACATGTTTACAGACCAAGGTCACCCAAAGCGCTGTCAGAGTTCAGATATTGTTCCATTCTCTCCAAACAGTGATGAAAAACACACTGGTGCATTGAAGCCTCCAACCAACACCAACTCCATCCATTCGCTCACTCTTTACTATTCATACCTATTGTACATGTTTTTTGTAGTAGGGGAAACCGGAGCATCTGGAGGAAACCTATGCAGAAATGGGGAGAACATGCAAGCTCCACTAAGAAAGAGACCCTGTACTTTCTTGCTGAGAAGCGTGAGCACTGCTTTCCACTCAGCCACCGTAGTGCCCACCGCGTCACTGTGTCGGGAATGGTTGGAACAGTCCTTGTGCAGGTGAGAGGGGAGTGGTTGGAGCAGTCCATGTGCAGGTGAGAGGGGAGTGGTTGGAACAGTCCTTGTGCAGGTGAGAGGGGAGTGGTTGGAACAGTCCTTGTGCAGGTGAGAGGGGAGTGGTTGGAGCAGTCCATGTGCAGGTGAGAGGGGAGTGGTTGGAACAGTCCTTGTGCAGGTGAGAGGGGAAAGGTTGGAGCAGTCCATGTGCAGGTGAGAGGGGAGTGGTAGGAGCAGTCCATGTGCAGGTGAGAGGGGAGTGGTTGGAACAGTCCATGTGCAGGGGAGAGCAGAGTGGTTGGAACAGTCTAACCACTCTGGTGGGACTCGAAACCCTGAAAATGTGAAAAAACGCATCTGCGCATGTGTCAGCCGGCGAGAGCTCCATTCATTTGAACGAGAGACTTATAAAATTCAGAGAGTAAACTAGAGTGGTCCAAAAAAATTTCCCCCCCTCAGCATTGACACACATGTGGAACGGAGCTTTGGGCCAAGAGCAAACTTTTGGACCATCCTTTAAAGACGTTTGAGAGGTCTGCCAACGCTAAATGTTAGCATTGGCTAATTCTTATTCCGGCTCCACCCCCATCGGCCCGGGGTGGTGTTGCTTGGTGTTTGCCCCGGTGTGCCAAAAGTGGCACGTCAATTTGGCCACTTTTGAGCCCGGACCTGCCCCCACTGGTATCAACTGATCAAACAGATGAACACATTTTGACTGTTTTAAGAATAAATCATATCTTTTTCTTGCAGAAGATGAAAACAAAGAAACTAAAGTCTGAAACAGACCAGACTGATGCATCACGGATCCTGCCAGCCTGAATAGATGTTTTCTCTTGCAACAAATCATCATACTTTGCTCTTTTGTTTGGGGAAATAAAAATAAAAAAGGTTCACAGGAAACAGGCCCTTGATAATGTTAAAGTAGAAAAATCCAATGATTTATTTTCAGGAAAGAAATCTGAACAAACAAAACACAGACTCTTTCAAGACTATCCTCCAACGTGGGAACTCACACCAAGACTGAACTTCCGTGGATAATAAAACTACAATAACTCCCAGTCTGACTAAAGACTCAAAACAAGTCCAAACAAAAGTTGATGTATCGATCTGCAGAAAGACCTCTGACCCACGCTATTGACTTTCCGTTGTTTCTTTATACTGCCAGTCATTTCAGGTAAAACACATAAGTTTTGTGGCAAGAAATAAACGAATTAGTAAATAAGTGTAATCAACAACTCATTCTTTGTCTTTTTTTCTACCTACAGAAACGATTATGTATAATTAATGAAACAAACAGATACCCCAGCTTTAAGAACACAAAAAATCAGCTTTGACTGATGAGCACTGCAAAAATAAAATATAAATAACTTGAATGGAGTGGTTTCTCTAAATCTAAAAACAAGATTTACCAATGGGACACAGTAAAATATAGTCTTTTTTCATGAACTGCTGCTTGATTTTCTTATTCCAAGGGAGACATTTTGTGTATCTTTTTAAAAGCAAGAATATTTTGCTTTGTCCCATTTGCAAAGTCTGTTTTAAGGCAGTCAAAATGTGCTCAAATAAAGAGACATTTTGCCAAATTTGACCATTTTTGGGACTTGTTTTTCACCTCTTTTTGCAGTGTAGATTGAGATACGTACCACAAGTTATTTATCCCAAGTTTAAGTGCAAAAAAAATGCTGCTTTGACCGATGTAGATTGAGATATGCAACACAACTGTAAAATCTGTGGCAGTCTCTCGTAGATCTTGCGCTAACGAGACCGGCCTGAGCGAGCAGCAGGGATGACAGTTTGGACACTGCGTTATTAACATGAGCGTGATTTTGCCTCAGGCTCGTGCCGGTCCAGTGCCTCTGCCGCTGTTCTGCTGGACTCAAACCAGAGGAACCAGGCCAAATTCATTAGAACCATCACACACTTTGCCAAAACTCCTCTCTGTGCCATATTCCCCCCCAAAACAAGTCCAAGACGGGTCCCACAAGGTTCTCATGAGTCTGTAGAAAAAAAACCAGAAAAAAAAAAACTGCCGCGAAAGTTTTTGGAGGTTATTTCAGTGCAAGGACAAACTGGGACGCGCTTCTCCTGACATTTAAGGCCGACATGATTGTTTTAAAATCCACATTAAAATCTGTCCATCACTTCCTGCTTATCGGCTCTCAGATGGAGCCAGACATTCTCCTTCAAACGCTCACACGGGAGGTTGGCTGCAAAACTGATGCTACGATTTTTAACGTTTTTTGCAATGAGTTTAAAGCAGGGATTTCAAACTCTATCTGTGTCGAATGAGCGCGAGTCTGGGTGATTAAGGGGCACAGCGCGGAAATGGATATAATATGAGGAACTAACTGCTTGAATCCAGTGTTTTTTTATCTTAATTTGAGTACATTCTGACTGTCTTTCAAACAAGATTTGTCCATGGGTCAATGTTGCTTTTTTTTCTTATTCTAAAGGAGATATTTATTTTTCAGTGTCTTTTTCACACAAGATCATTTTGCTTTGTCCTCTTGGCAAATCTTATTAACAGTTAACAGTTTCCAAAGTGCTAACACAGTAAAACAGTAAAATCATTCATAAATAAATAGGATTTTAAAAACACATATAAACATAACAGTTCATCTAAATGAAATAAAATCAAATCTTGTTTTAAGGCAGAATGTGCTCAAATTCAGATACATTTTTCAAAATTTTAGCAATTTTTGACTTATATTTGCTGTGAGATAGAATCAAACCTCTAAAACTACACACGCTATTTTATATATAGTTTATACAGAATATTTTTATATGTTGATATTTATGATAGATATTGATATTTATCATTATGACAGAAGTTCTTGGGGCAATGAAGGATGGGTCACATGCAGAGGACAAATTTCCCTATGGGGACAATAAAGAATAACTTAACTCAGTAGTAGTAGTAAGGGATATTTATTTATGTAGTGAGTTTTTACAGAACAAGGTCAGACAAAGCCCTTCTACAATGTTCAGAGTTTAGATATTGACTTCGATATCTCGAGCAAGACGAACACTCAATTATTTCATTCTTATCTATTGCGCATGCTTTCAGTGGTAGGGAAAACCGAAACATCCGGAGGAAACCTACACAGATCATACACTAAGAAAGATCCTTTTCCAACTGGGATTTGAACCCAGGACCTTCTTGCTGAGAAGCCAAAGTGACTGCTACTTCGCTAAATCCCTGTGTTCGTGCTCTAGAACCACACACTTAGCATTTGTGATTCACTTCCTGGCTTTAGCGACTGTTATGTTCCGGTCACAAAGGAGTCATGGATCCGTTGGCAGTGTCGCACTTTTAATAATGGAACTCACAACAACAGAAAGATGATGCAAAAGGCGCACTTCCTTTGGTCTGGAATCAATAGTGCACTTAATCACAGCAGTCTCTGTCGGAGACATTTTGATGATGTAACAACCGACGAGCTCCGTAGGATACACATCTGTCATGAAGTGCATTTTGTGTTATTTGACTTCATTTCTCTGTGGTTTTAGTTTAGTTTTACTTCCTGCCCTGTTCCCCTAATGGATTATCTGCCCCGCCCTAAAGTGTTTCACCTGTGTCTCTCCTTGTCTATGTGTCTATTTTTCTTGTGTTTGAGTCGTTTGATTCTCTGATCTGTGTTGGTGAATCAACAGGTTTGTGAAGTGAGCCGTGATTTAGGGCTATACAAAAATACATTGAATTTAATTGAATATTGACAAGTGAAACATTTATACCAGGGGTCTCCAACCTGTGGCTCGGGAACTTCCAGTAGCTCGCCAGCTCCTTTCAGGTAGCTCACCAAACGATTTAGAATTTAACAAATGATCTTGAATGAATACATTTTGAGTCATTTCATATCTATTATAAGTATTGGGGTTGGAAAGTATTACACGTCTTCTCCATGTTTTGTCGTAATTATTCTATAGATTCTTATTATGACTGCAAGAAGAGTTTCTCTCTGCCTCTTCTTTTGTTTAAAAGTAGCTCTCCGATTGAAAAAGGTTGTACACCCCTGATTTATACACTGCACAGACATATCTGTGTGATGCAGCTTGGCTCTTTAAGGTTGAAATGTGTCTTGAGGCTAAAGGCAAAGATCCCTCAAAAAAGCACACGAGTCGAGTCAATGAATTTAGATGCAGCTACTTCTGCTTTTAATGAAGCTATTCCTCGCAGATGTCTCGACTGTACATTACGTCAATTAGATCAAAGTAAATACCGCACAGGAGACACCACAAAAGAAATGCAATTATGAGAGTGTGTTTACATTGGCTCAACATGGACAGGTCACCTTCTGGCTCTGTCCATGTCTTTCATCACAGGTACAGCGGATTTACACCGGGCTTTTGAGCTCAAAGCACAAGACTGTTTAGTCCACCGGCTCAAATGTGTGCCTCCAAGTACGTCTTAATATTCTGGTGATGAAAGTAAGTATATAAGTAAGCAATCTTTATTCATATAGCGCATTTTTACAGACCTAGGTGCCCCAAAGCGCTTAAGAGTTCAGACTTGATATATTTTTTCATTTTCTCCACACGGCGATGACAGAAGCGAGACGTCGAACACACTGGTCCATCAAAGGCTCTGACCAAACACCATCCATTCACTCACTCATTACATTTATAACTATTGTGCAGGTTTTTAGAGGTAGGGAAAACTGGACCACCTGGAGGAATACTACGCAGACATGGGGAGAACATGCAAACTCCTAGATTCGAACCAAAGACCTTCCTGGGAAGCAAGAGTGCCCTCAGTGTCGCCCCCGGCTGAATCTTCTACTCACAAACCTTGGATATAAAAGACACTACAATCAATTCTCAGTTGTTGAATATTTCCAAAATTCTCCAGCTTAAAGGAGAAGTATGTAAAAATCTGGCCTAAAGTGGTATTGCACTCTCTCTGACTCAGGTTGCCAGATATGCAGACGAATCCAGGTGGTACTATTATAGCCGAATAGAAAGAGTTTTGTCAACAACAAATCTATAACCTACAGCTTTTTCACCAAGATAGAAATCCTAGTTTTAATTCTTGTTTTGTCATTAATGATTTGAGAATTATAACAAGACCTTTTGTAGTTCTGCAGCCACATTGAGATTAGCTTTGGAGTTCTGGCAACCCGGATCACAGACGTTCTGATTGGTAAAAAGGTGGTGTGATCAATATAAAAACAATAACAAGATTTAGGGGTTGTTAAAGTTATTTTGAATTTCAAAAATCTCTGAACTTCTGTTACCAGTTAAAGAAGTATTCTAAAAGAACATGGTTTATTAATGCTTTTTGACATATTAGCGCCCTTTAATGATGACTTGACATGAAAATCTTACATATTGCTACTTTAACTCCCATTAAAATGCACAGAAATGTTCCGCCCCTTTGCACCCCTGGTGGAAATGAGCCTGTTACGACCCGGCTCAGCTAGGTGTAAGGAAGTAACAAAATAACCAAGATGTTAGAATGGTAACTAAAATCATAACTTATTACAATGACAAAATAGGTAAAACAAAATAGGATTAAATATCTACGTAACACACATAGTAAATAAAAAACCTAATACTATTAAACAAGTAAGCAATTGACAAAACCAAAAAGTTTAATCTGAACTAAAGTGTCTCAACATAAACTTCACAAGTCACTGAACTAAAATACCGGCTCAAGTGACAGAACAGACAAAACTAATGGCGAACTGGAGTCCACTGACACCAGCTGCCCCGAGCTGCGGAAGATTGGCAGCTTTTAAGGGCGGGTCCTCCAGGTGAGCGGGCGCTGATTGGAGGACTGCCTCAGCTGCTGCCCAATCAGCACCCAGGCATCGCGGTCCATCAGCTCCAGGTGGGGAATGACTGGCCAATAGGAGCCCAGGACTCACAAGCGTGGTCTTCTGAAAAAGGGAAACACACAGAGACACCACGGGAGAAACTAAAGTGATCCCCACAATAGAGAATTACGGGACATGGGCCGTAAAAGAGCCTAAATAACTCAACAATAACACATTTCACAGGTATATCCTTTTTGAAATGTCCGACAAAACAGGAGATTAAATTGATGAAATTGTTAAAACTAAATAGTTCAACATTAACAGCACGTCCCACCAGTCTGTGTCTGTTGTGATGTCACATGGACGCAGCCAATGGAGATTAAAGAAGAACTCAGCAGATTCCAGACGTCTGAATATTTTATAGTGGTCATAGTTTTAATTGGAGCTGGAAGACATTCGCCGGTTCAAAATAAGCTGTGGCCCAGTTTTTTTCAAAGACCTAAAAGTAATACTTCTCCCCTAGTTCATTAAGATTTTACGGGAGTTTGAGGAAGTACGAAGTGAATCAATGTCTGAATCAGCACAACTCCGCTCCTGTTTACCGTCCTAATTAAAAAGTCGAGCTCCAGTCGAAGAGTTGAACAATGCTAGATGTTTTATTTAGATACTTAACTGTTTAGTCCATTTAGTTGAGAACTATTTGTTTTGCAGACTTGATGTATTCATGGAAAAACACGTATAAATGATGCATACAGAGTACAATTTTACACACAATTTTGTTTTTGTTTTTTTTGTATATGTCTCATTGTGCAATTGTCTCATTGTGCGTTTTATTCATATGTTTTTAAATGCATGCCTTCACCTACAGTATATTTTTACTCTTACTCTGACAACAAAGCCAGTTCCTAGTTACTTACATTGACAATACAAAAAATATAATTCTGATTCGGATATTGCAATTTTGATCTTGAGACTGCCTGAGAATAATTTCATTCATTTCGTTTTGTACAGCCCTAAATCACAGCAGCAGTCGTCTCGAAGGACTTAACAACTTTACTTTGTCGATTCGCCAACAGCAGATCAGAGAATCAAACCGTTTGAACTCAGAAAATACATTCATGACAAAACACATAAAATTGTTTCATAGGGAGCAGGATGACCATAAATGTCTGTACGTTGTCCCAAAAAACAAAGTGGGGAAAGAAAGTGAGATATACAGTAGACCTTTGAAATCCTCATTATTGTCCAAATATTTACCAATATATCTACGGTAAAAGCATATTTGATGTTCTGTCTCGCTTTTCTGCTTTAAAAATCTGATCTAAATGAGAGAGCGATGAAAGAGTTTCTTGTAGTTTGAACTTCAGTTGACCGGCTTTAATGTTTCAGATTCTAAAATATGAAATGTCAAAGCAAATGCATAATATTTCTACCCCAAAAGGAGCATGTGCCTAACTACTAAAACAAATCTTGTTTTAAGGCAGTCAAAATGTGCTCAAAATAAGACACATTTTGCCAAATTTGAGTAATTTTTTTAATCACTATTTGCAATAAACAATGTATCTTGGAAATGTATGGAGTATATAGAACCCATGTGTTGTTATCTTCATCATCATCATTATTTTTATCCTTTTACATTAGTTTTCTCTAACTCCCGGGAACTTTATCCCACACACTTTTCAACGTCTTTATTTGAGTTATTTTGGGGTTTTTTTTTTTTTTTTTGGGATTGGGCAGAAGGGCCAGTTCAAACCGGGAGGCGATAATGAGCAACCTCACACTCCTCTGCAGCCGGAGGAGGAGGAGGAGGAGGAGGAGGAGGAGGAGGAGGAGGAGGAGGAGGAGGAGGAGGAGGAGGAGGACGAGGACGAGGACGAGGACGAGGACTACTACAGGCAATGTCGTGCTTGTTCAACCACTCAATCACTTAATCAAAGAGAGGAGAGTTGGGAGGGGAGAGAAGAGAGGAGAAAGGAGAGGAGAACTGAGAGAGAGGAGAGCTAAAGGGAGAGGAAAGATGGGAGCGAAGAGAAGAGAGTACATCCTTACAGTATTATCTCCTGCTCTATAAATCATTTCAGATTTTTTCAGCAAAAATCAGGAACAGTCTCCCTGAAAATGTGAAAGATGTTATTTTATGTGATGGTTTGTGCCTTGTGTGATGTGGAGGAGCTCTAAAATCAAAGTGCAGGCCTTACTTTTCACTTTTCTGTTTCTTTTTTTAAATAACAAAAAAACATGTTTCATTTTGCTTTCACTTCACAGTTGTCTATTACATGTGTGAACAATTAAAAATAAAATCTGTGTTTATGGTTGTAAACATGACAAAATGTGCAAAGGTTCTGAATATATTAATACTTATAGAGACTAAAAGTATTATTACTTTAGTATTAATAGACTTAATTATGTACTGTATAGTGCAGTATTGTATGGTGGACTTCACAGATCTTATTGGTTAGCCGATTTGAACATAAGCAAGCTGAAGTCAATTTCCTTATATGGGCATTTCTTCTGCGACGTTAGCTTTGATTTGCTGAGCTGCAGGGGTTTACTTTTTAGGGTTAGGGTTTGTCAAGTCAGAAGTTGAGCTAACCACTTAGCAGGTAAGTCCATCTTTATACTGTCAATGTTGTGAACATCATGCTCAGAACTTTATAAACCACCATTGTAGTTGTGTCTCCTGCAAAACTGAATTAACCTTTCCTCAAAGTCCCTTTCCTCACAGCATCTGTCATCGCAAAATTTAAGCTACATTTCTACTGTAATAGACAATGCTCTTCCGGGGACACTATAAATATATTTTAATAGACTTAGAGCAGTAGACGCAGAAAAGGTCAGGAGTAAAAATCAGTCTGAGAAGCTTTTGTGTGTGAATATTCAGGATATAATATGTTTGTGCGTTTTGTGTAGAATGAGAGAGGTTCGAGTGTTTTCTTCATTAAACAAGATTTGCAGATGGGACAAAGCCATTTAGTCTTATTTCAAGAACTGTTGCTTTATTTTCTCATTCCAAGGGATATATGATGACTGCTGTCGTTGTGTCCTTGGGAAAGACACTTAACCCCACTTTGCCCAAAGCCCCCACTGAAAGATCAAGGCTTTGCTCACACTCAGAGAGCAGCCGTCCTCCTGTGGACTCACCACCTGCAGAGGGTCAGTGAGGGGCTGGTGCTATGAGACTTCCTGACCCATGGATTAAAGGGTAGAAAATGGATGGATGGATTTATTATTTATTTTTTATTTAATAGTTTATTTGAATAGGGACAATACACATTAATCAACATATTTGACATATTTCTAGTATCTTTTTAAAACCGGATAATTTTGCTTTTCCCATTTCACACTTCTTGTTTTAAGGAAGTCAGAATGTGCTCAAATTAACCTACATTTTGCCAAATTTGCAATCATTTTTCAGCACTTTTTGCAGTGTACAAAAGAGCAAATCCTTTAGCAGGTTGTGTGAACATAACCGTTTGACATGTATACTTTTGTCTTTTGGTTGTAATCAGAACCTCCTGAGTTCCGTAGGTGTACATTGTGAGAATTGAGACTTCTGAGCCTCCACTTGTGGGACCCATGATAATTGACATGTATAACAATAACGCTGTAATAACACCCACCTCCTATTTTTTTGTTTTTATTTTCATGTGTAAGTACAAGGACAATAGCATATCTTTAGACAGGAGAGACTCATGTGGGGGGGGGGGGGGGCTTGGGAGGTCCTAATTGAAAAGTATGCTCAGACGAGGACTGCGTGGTGATGTCGTTTCTCTTGTGTTTCAGTTCAAACGCCAATTTAAAAAAAAGGATAATCTCTAAACACTCTGAACTCTCATTTATCCGACCACAAGTGCTACACGCTCTCTCTTTGAGGGATGTGCTGAGTCACTTTTCGCGCTGGTAGAAGTGGATGTAAACAAACCGGTGGTGTTTGTAGTCGCAGCTCTGGCTCCGGCGTGTGATAAATCATCTGTTATTCTCTTTGATAAGAGCAGGACTTCCTCTCTGTGGACATAATTACATGCTTCATATCTAGACATGACGCCCTCCACAGAACAGACAGCGTGTTTGTGAATATGGGCTCGAGAGCTTATGCTTTCTTCAGCACAATTTACTTGGTTCACTCAGAAAAAAAATCAGCTCTTGTAGCTCCCGAGGCAAAAGATTAAAAGTGGCACCGGGTGTACATACTGTATAATGACAAATAAATATATAAAATGAGATTCCTTACTTGCCTTTTTTCATTTATGCGTTTATTTGACAGTGACAGTGTACATGAATGAACATTACTGTAAATGTTCCAGAATTAGCCACAAGACTATTTTTCATCCGTTGTCCCTGAACAGATTCAAAATGTCAACCTAAAAGCACACACAAACACCTGATGACCTCTGTACTATACAATATGCCAAGACGGCTTTGTACCAACCGAGCACACACTAAAAAAACACCAGACCACTTTTATGAATGCCTAAAGGTTTTTTCAATAACTGAAAATAGAAAAAGAAAAACAAGAACAAAAATTCCTTATGTTAATGGTTACTTCCGGGTTTACCGTGATTGCTTTTTGTCACATTAAAACAGCATTTTTTTCATGAACGTTAACAGATAGATCTGAAAACCTCCGTGCACGTGTGTATATGTATAATGTAATCTTCAATTAACATTTAAATGTGTTGATTAATTGTTTTTTCATGTCTATTAGATAGATAGATAGATAACTTTATTTGCTGACTCGAGGTCCAGATCACAAGACAAGAAAAAATGAAAACAAAATAAACAACAGACAATAAAAACCTCTAAACTTTCAAGAGGCAGTCATACCAATGTTTCCAAAGCAGCGACGTATAACTAGACAATAAAATAATCACCGCATTTTTTGAATTGTTCAGGCGACATATAAACTTCAACATCAAATTTCTCAAGACAGCTTGCAAAGTGTTTACTCGATTTGACACGAAGAGTTCACTGGCTCTTGTCCATCTGTGTCATGAGGTGGGAAGGAGGAGGACTCAAAATGCGAGAATGCCAAAATAAAGATTTAATAAAATAAAGTCCAAGGTAAAAACAAAACTCAAAATCCAAAATACGGAACCAGGAGCACAAATCAGCGCATCATTGTAAGCAACTGTAAGTTTATGAAAATTGGACTTTTTGTAATTGACCCACAGATGAGTTGTGTACAGAGGTGAGCAGTAGTAGAACAGTGGTGGAATTGTTGTGTTTTTTTGCCCCGTATCTTAAGTGTTAGTTTGTATAATGATTCTATTGGTTTCAGTGATGTTCTGTTTGCCTGTGACCATGCGGTTAAGCAGTATGTAATGTGGGACAGAACCATAGAGAACATGACTAATTTCACAGACTGAAGTGATAAGTTGGATCTAATGAACCGGAAATGAGCTTTGTTGAATGACTACTTATTGCTTACTTACTGTACAATGAGAACTGTTGAGTCCGTACATGTTCTGGGAATCCATTACTCACTTTACCTGATTCTATTCTTACTATTGTTCATTCTGGTCTCATTCTCAGCTGCTAAAGCACAATATAAACATCTTTAAAAACCTACTGTAAATACTGTATGTGGCCGTATCTGCATGAGAGAGCAAGATCCTGTCAGAGCTGAGAACCTATGCAGGGCATGGTCTGGTTAGTCCTGGGATGGGAGACCCTCTGGGAACACCAGGTGCCACAGTGGGGCGGCTGTTGCTACAAAGTGCCAAACCGCTGTTGTGTCCTTAGGCAAAATGGTGAGTGGGAAACAAACGGTTTAATGTTCAATATCATAATAATAATTTGTCATGGATCAGTTCTATATTTATATTATATACATTCTATTTATTTTCTGCTTGGACAGAAGAAAATGGATGGATGGAGGGCAGCTTTATATTGATTAGCAAGCAATCATTTTAACATTCACAACTTGCTCTGACCCCCAGGCCGCCCCCTCCCCCTCCCTCCCCCTCCCCCTCCCCCCATGATCCCCGGGAAAGAGCAGCCGAGCACAACCACCATTTGTCTGCATACCGTTACCACCTCCATCCAGCATGAGCTCTGCCCGTGGCCCCAGTAGCTGTCCGGTCCCATACCGCTAGAACTATAACGCGTATGTCTTTTGCGGAGGCTGACGATTTTGCATCTGCCTCACATTTTTAAGCACAGGAATCCAGGGATCCTCCATTACCACCGCTGCAAATGAGACGTTTTCTGCTGGTGAATACTGGGACAGGTTAAAAGTTCACGGCAAAATAAAATCGTCCAAATCTTTCTTGCAGAGAATGTGTAAAGGTGGATATGTTGGTAGCCTATAGGTTTAATAGTCACTTCCAGGACTGCTGTATAATGGGGAAGGCTCAACTTGATTTTGCTCTACAGTCTGGCTATGCTGGTCTCAACTTTCGGTGAACCCTGGGCTTTCTACGCTCGTTCACATAATTTCCAAGTCTTTGAATAATGAGGGGGGGATCAATCAATCAATCAATCAACGTTTATTTGTAGAGCGCCTTTCCTACACAAGGCAACGCAAAGCGCTTCACATCCCCTATCACATCATGCATAAATCAAACACATTAAGAGCACAAGATATATTAAAAACATTAAAAATAAAATCACAAAAATTAAAAACCTTTAAACATTAAAATCACAGATGGGACTAAAATCATAAATAGTCACAGTGCATTAAAAAGATTAAAGATAAAAACAAAGATGAAAAGATAAAATCATTCAGTTGTATATGCGCAGCTAAACAGAATTGTTTTGAGCCTAGATTTAAAAGATGCCAGAGTAGACGCCTGTCTCACATTCTCAGGAAGACGGTTCCAGACTCTAGCCGCATGAATCTGAAATGCAGTTTGCCCATGTCTAGTACCGACTCTGGGCACTAACAGGAGTCCAGTCCCTGTGCTCCTCAGAGTCCGGGTCGGTTCATATGGCACAAACATGTCATGGATGTACCTTGGCGCGAGACCATGGAGAGACTTGTACACAAGTAAAGCTGCTTTGAAGTCTATTCTCTGAGGAACAGGAAGCCAGTGCAGAGACCTGAGAACTGGACTAATGTGGTCGTACTTCCTAGTTCTGGTCAGGACTCGAGCTGCTGCATGTTGAATGTACTGCAGCTGTTTTACAGCCTGTTTGGACAGACCTGTGAGCAGGCCATTGCAATAGTCTAACCGACTGGAGACAAAAGCGTGTATAAGAGTCTCCAAGTCTGCCTTACACTATGTTTTTAATTTTAGCAATGTTTTTTAGGTGGTAATAAGCTGCTGATGTTACAGATTTTATGTGGCTTTTGAAATTTAAGTCTGAGTCCATTATCACTCCTAGATTTCTGACCTGATTTGAGGGTTGTAGAGAGAGAGCCTGGAGGTGACAAATAACGCTCTCTCTTTGTTTCTGGGGTCCGAAAACAATTATTTCAGTTTTGTCGGTGTTTAGTTGGAGAAAGTTATTTTGCATCCAATCACCGATTTGCTGGACACAGTGAAGGAGCGAGTCCACTGGTTCATGCTCTCCTGCTGTCAGGGACACATAGACCTGAGTATCGTCAGCGTAATTGTGATAAGAGACATTATTACTGTGAATCAACTGACCTAGAGGCAACATGTAAATATTAAACAGAAGAGGACCCAGGATTGACCCCTGTGGCACTCCGCAGGTCAGGGCCAAGTGGTCTGAGGTACAGTTTTCGATCTCCACAAAAAACTTTCTGTCTTGTAAATAGGACCTAAACCAGCTTAGGGCGGTGCCAGCAACACCAACCCAGTCCTCAAGTCTCTGAATGAGGATGCCATGATCAATAGTGTCAAAAGCAGCACTTAAATCTAACAGAAAAAGGACTGAGACTTTTCCTGCGTCAGTGTTTAGTTTGATGTCATTTGTTACCTTTATTAGCGCGGTCTCAGTGCTGTGGTGGGGTCTAAACCCTGACTGGAACATATCATAAGCGTTATTGATTATTAAAAATTCTGTAAGTTGTTTATAGGCAACTTTTTCTAGAATTTTTCCCATGAAAGGCAGATTTGAAATGGGCCGATAATTTTTGAGTGCCAGGGCTTCCAGACTCCTCTTTTTTAGGAGGGGCCTGATGACCGCCGTTTTCAAGGCCATTGGGAATGTTCCAGATTCAAGAGACATATTAACTATTTGTGTAAGTGAAGGTAAAAGACTGCTCAGAACTGACTTGAGAAATCTAGGAGGTAATACATCCAGGCTGCATGTGGAGGAACTCAGACTAGTGATTATCTCCTGGACAGTTTCAATTTGTACTGGTGTAAAGTGCGTCAGCCCAAAAAGCCTCACTGGCGGTTGGATTATTATTTCTATCGTGGAGGTGATGGCGTTTTTGATACCTTGGACTTTGTCATTAAAGAACTGAGCAAACTCATTACATTTAGATTTGGAAGTAAGTTCTGATGGCATCTTAACAGGGGGATTCGTCAATCTATTTACTGTTGAAAACAGAACACGTAGATTGTTGCTACAGCCTTCAATAGTTTCAGAAAAGTACATTTCCCTCGTTCTACGTAGTTCCCTGTTAAAATTGCACAACGCATCTTTGAAGATCTCATGGTCAACTTTGAGATTTGACTTTCGCCACTTCCGCTCGGCCTTCCGGCACTCTCTCTTCTGTGCCCTGACCGAGTCTGCTTTAGTCCATGGCGCTTTTTGCTTGTTTGTAACTATTTTAACCTTTACAGGAGCAATTGTATCCAGAACATTCAAAACAGTGGTGGTGACAGAATCAAGCAATTCATCTACAGTAACACACAACGTGTTCTCAAAGTTTACCCTCCCCATGAACAGTTCGCCTGTATTATCATTTATGTGTCTTCTTCTAACAACCGAAGATTCAGCTGGTGGTTTACAATCAAGACACATGTCAAAAAAATTTAACACAGAAATGATCAGACAGAGCAACATTGACCACATTTACATTTGAAATATTAACCCCCTTGGTAATTAACAGATCGAGAGTGTGTCCTCTGCTGTGGGTGGGGCCACTCACATGCTGAGTGAGACCAAAGGTTTCCAGCACAGAGCTCGAGGGAAGGCCGCTAGGCCACAGGCGAGTAGGAGGCGAGACGTGATGAGTGGATTTGGACATCCGCCGCTCTCTGCCTTTGTCACGTGACTACACAACTCCGATCGGAGCGGAAGGACAACGGCGGCCATGATGGACGGTAAAAAGTTCTAAATACAGCTTTAATTAGCGACATACAAGTTAATTCTAATATCATTTGAGGCGAGAAATATCCCCTTTATTGTCATATCAGAAGTCCTGTTTGGAGATAATTCGAAAATTTTCGGACTTTTACCTCAGCCTGAAAGCTCGGTGCTATAAGCTAACAGCCCAGTTAGCTGCAGTGCGAAGCCCAGAACAGGCTGTCCTAAACAAAGACGGGTTCAGGTAATGAAGCCCCCAGGATGTTTACAATCGTATCTGAAAAAACAGAGATGCTTATGTTGTTACACTTTCTCTGTTATAGACAATTGTATTGGCAGTAAACATTAGTTATTACAAATTTATATTATATGTAACATGCACAAATAGCCAATAAATGATTCTTAGATAAGGATTATATATTTGCTATGCCCTCGTTTGTGCATCACTTAAAAGAAATTTTCACAGAACAAATGTATTAAAGTGTGTATGCTGATGAGAGAGAACCACCATTTATCTTATACTAATACTGGACACATCAATTATCTATAATAATACGGACACATCCATTTATCTATAATAAGAACTGACACATCCATTTATCTATAATAACTGAACATCCATGGAACTATAATAATAACTGACACATCCAATTATCTAAATAACTGAACATCCATGATCTATAATAAAAACAGACCATCCATGGATCTATAATAATAAACTGACACATCTGGAAACATGTACAGACATCTGTAAAAATGAGTTGAACACAGAGTTTTGACACTGCTCTTATTCACATTTTATATCTCATTGAAAAGCAAACAGACCGTTACTAAATTCACAGTTGAGTTTAATGGTATTCAAGTATAAGTATAAGTATAAGTACTGCTGAACAAATGGGTATGTTGTGTAAATAATACCTCACATTGATGACTCTACATTTCACACAAACAACAAAATCATAATAAAACAACAAGTTTGATTTTAGTCTTCTTTATTTTCCAGGTTCTCTGAAAGCTGTCGATGAGACCTGGGTCGAGAGGCAGACGCCCCAGGACTCTGCTGCTCGCTCCTGCTGTTTTTTCTGCTCGTTACTGCTGTAACTCCTCCTGTTTACTCTTGCTGCTGTTGCACTCATCTGCTGCTGCAACTGTTTGCTCTTTCTGCTGCTGCTCCTGCTGCTGCTGTTGTTATTACACCACCGTTGCTGTCCCTGTGCTGCTGCAGTTAACTTCCTCCCTGTTGCTCCTTCTGCTGCAGCTGTTACTCCTCCAGCGCTGCTTAGTTCCTCCTGCCTGTTGCTCCCCTCTGGCTGCAGCTGTTACTCCTCCTTTGCTGCAGGCTGCTGCAGCTGTACTCCTCCTGTACACCCGTCGTGCTAGCACGCTGTTACACAACTCCTGTTGCTACCCTCTGCAGCAGCTGTTAGACTCCACCTGTTGCTCCATCTGCGGCTGCTGTACTCCTCCCTGTTTGCTCCTTCTGCTGCTGCCTGTACTCCTCCTGTTTGCTCCTTCTGCTGGCTAGCTGTTGCAGCTGTTACTCCTCCTTTCAGCTGGTTACTCCCTGTTGCTGCTGCGGCGGTTGGCTGCCTGCTGTTGCCCTAACTGCTGTTGCTCCTACTGCTGTTGCTCCTGCTGCAGTTGCTCCTGCTGCTGCTGCTGCTTCCTGCTGGTTGCTCCTTCGCTGGCGGCTCCGCTGATGCTCCTTCTGCTGCTGCTGTTACTCCTCCTGTTCTACCTTCTGCTGCTGCTGTTACTCCTCCTGTTGCTCCTTCTAGCGAGCTGAGCCTGTTACTCCCTCTGTTGCTCCTTCTGCTGCTGTTACTCCCCTGTTGCTCCTCTGCTCTGCTCCTACTCTGCTACATGTCTTCAGAGATGCAGAGCCCACTGTTACTAACTATTCATGAC